TTAAAAAAAAAATCTGTTCTTTCATTCCAATTCCCGCTAGTTAAAAAACAGTTGGCAAGGGGCTAGTTCGCAATGAACTACTTAGTTTGAAATAGGTTCCTCATCCAGTCGTTTAGTTACTGCAGTTTATACAAATCTACACACATGTGAATGCATGTGTCCACTTCTGTCTATTGCAAATTTCTACAAAAATGCAAGAGTCTCTGCTTATTTGCATTCACATACACACACACATTCACACGCACACACCGTTTGGCAGCCGCATCATATTTTCCCTACAAATAAAAAAAAACCAAGAAGAGCACAAAAACCAAAATACGCCGCATAGCCGGCTTGCGTGGCTGCATTTAACTCGCTCGTCTTCAGCTGCAGTCCCATTGCAACATTGCTGGCATTTAAAATAGATTTCTGATTTGCATTTGGAATGCGCTCGACAGTCGTTAGTTTAGCGGCAGCACCCGGCAAGCGGTGAACGCGTGTGCGAATAAGCGGCAAATAGTCGTGCAAATTTTACTGCATTACTAAGTGGATTAGTTAGTGTAGTCAAAGAAAGGAATTCAGATAAAAAGCTTAAAAAAATATAAAACTGTGTAAGCAAAGCTATTGGTTGAAAAATTTGCACATCCACCTTCTATGTAAAATCGATAGGAGAGTAATTTCAATTCGATTGGGAAAAGCTGCAAATCTAATTTTATTTGCATTTGGCAAGGAAGAGTACTCGTCTTCTAGAAATAGCAAAACTTGGAGACGCCAAGTTTATGTCGCGTGGAACCAGTAGCAACACAATTGCATTTGCCAACTACTTAGATATCAAAGTATGTATGTTTATTAGGTTGACTCAGAAAAAACATTTTTTAAGCATAACGTAGTAAAAATTGTTTAATGTAATTCTGATTTTTATATTTAATGAACGATACGTTGTACTGTAAAGGTATTGGAGTATTTTTGTGGAGAATTGAAAGCTCTATAAAACAAGTCCGAAGTCGTAAAGTATGTACGGTAATGCAAATTTGAAAATGCACGGAATTCATTTCAAATGTGCATGATTCTCTTTTGGTGTGTAAGGATGATAATATTTCAGCTGTGAGTTAGGATGCCTTGAAATTACTTTTACTTCGCCTCACGTTTGCCTATACTACCATTAGTTAGTTTTAAAATGAACGATTATTTTCGAAAGAAAAAAGTATTTACATTTAAAAGGATTTGTAAATGATTTTTTTTTTAATCAAAATACCATTTTAAAAGCTACATAGATATTTTTTATTTTTTTATGAATAAGGCGATAAGCCAAGAAATCGCGAGGACTGAAAACTTTTATAAAACGCGAAAGTGGCCCATTCTCCATCTGAGAACATATAAAATAATTATGCTGGACTTTCAACTGCAAGCATTTCTTACGCTCCAAATGTGATAACCAGAATCCAAAATAGATTATCTGACAAAAGTCTGCAGATTTTTATACCCGAGCGCATTTGTGCACAAGGGTATATTTACTTTGTTCTTATAACGGTTGTTTGTAACAGCCTAAAGGAATCGAGATAGATATACACAAATATATACATAAATGTTCAGAATGAAAAGAGAAATCGATAAAGTCAGGTCGGTCTGTCCGTCCGTTCATGTACACGATAACTCTAGCAAAATATTTATATAACTCAACGCAATTTGGTGTGTAGGTGGCCCTTTATCCAAGGTAGGTTTGTATTGAAAATATGCGAAATCGGACTGTAACCACGCCCACTTCCCATATAATGGTGGTGTCGAAAAATATAAAAACTATGATATTTCAGTAAATAACGGATGCAAATTGTTGAAAATTAGTATGTGAATTAAAATTTTGGTAAAAAAAAATATTATGAAATTTTTGGAAAATGTATGATGAATTTGTTGTATCTCAGCATTCGTATCACCAATCCTTACCAAAATTGGTACGAGCCTTTCTTAGGGTCCAGTTAAGAAATGTGTTGAAAATCTTTGAAATCGGGCAGTAACCACGCCCACCTCCCATATAACGGTAATTTACACAAACACCTAAACTGCGATAGATCAGTAACTACTGAAGCTAAGTAATTCAGTCAAAATCGATGATGCAATAATCACTTAGCAGAAAATTAGATAATTATAAATGTTTGGATAATGGGCGTGACGCCGCCCACTTATACCTACAAAGGTGTATCTCGGCAACCGCTTTATCGACGGTTCGAAAACGAAAAAAAATGTATGCTATTTAAAAAATGCCATGTGGAAACAGACGTAATGACTATTTTTTTATTTATGAATGTAATGGCACCTATTTTTTAATACCCAACATTGTCATTTAAAATTATGTCATTTAATGCCTAGTGCAAATTTAGCATAAGCCTTGATGATGGCGAGTTTTTTTTTATTTTCTTAATATCGTATTTGGGTTAAAAATATGCTTCGAAAACCATTAGTAAACCAATTTTTGGCATTAATACATTCTGCATCAAAGTAAAAAAACCATGCTCGTATCGTTAACTTAATGTAAAAACAATTTTTTTTAACTTGAAGTTTTTTGGAAATTTTGTTAGTTAATAATATCTCTCTTTTAAACTCCAATAAAAATAGCTACTCTATTACTTAAGTCGCTTTATCTTTGAGGAAGTAACAGAGCTCTTGATATATATGGAGATTTCTAGATAAAATTAACGATATATGCATGTGTCATCTTGAATCTCATCTAAATACATATATATATATACATAAGTTATGCATGTCAGAGTATTTTCAAAGATCCATACTTCAACAAAAAATTAAACGTTTGCTATTGATTTCCACCAAGCCTTAACTGCAGTTTATGCCGTTTAAAAAACGGAGATTGCAACTCGAAGGGGGTAATTCCACATATTAAGTAGAAGCAAACGATAGGAAAAAAGCAAAACTTAAGAATAAACCATTCTGATCACCCCATGTTGGAATTATTTGAACTTTTCTGAGCTCTTAACTGCAGTTAAGCCTTTGGTGGAAATAGGCTATAAGTTACGCTCCCCCATTGACCTTAAACCTGTTGCATACAAAAAACCAACCATCTTGCATTTCTACAAAATCAACTAAACTGCCTGTGTCCTCAAATAAACACTTTTGTCTTTTGTATATATACATATGTAGATTAGAGTGCCTCACCAAAAAAAAGTTGCAGTTTTTCCCGCTGACTTATAAAACAAGTTATATTTTAAGACTTTCGCAAAAATATTTCGGATAAATTATTAAGACTTACGTTTAGCTAGACCGATTTGATAATGCTTCCAAAGTGATCATTATTTTCATGTTTAAATATTTTTTTCCAGACCTTTTAAGCTTAAACTCCTCATCATCTGAGTTTAAAAAAAAAAAAATATTTTTAAAAACAATTTTTTTATTATTTTGATTCCGTTAGTAAAGTTTTTAAACATTTTTAGCTTAAACCCCTCATCATCTGACGTGATTTAAAAAAAATATATATTTATAAAAACTTATTTCATTATTATTTCGATTGCGTTAATAAAGTTTTTAAACATTAGCTTAAACTCCTCATGATCTGATGAGATCTTTTTTGAAAAAAAATATTTTCAAAAACTAATTTTCTTTACATATAAAATAACTAAATTTTTGGAGCTATTTTCGAATCGGCGCAGTTGCTGTAAATCTTAATGCTTTTCCGAAATATTTGGCGGAATTCTTCAAATACAAAAAATTTCATAATTCCGATGGAAAAACCATGTACCATATTTTTTTTTGTATGGCGAGTGATGCACCCTAAAACGCAAACATTCATTTAATAACATTTCGCTAATTTACGAGCATGTACATATCTACAACTCATACATAGCATAACTAAACGCTGTGTCAAAAAAAAGGAATGCCTTTGTTTCTATCCCATTTGTACAAAATTTTAAGTATTATCATCTGTTTCTACAAAAAATCTGCGCTATTTGTTTCATTGTTCCAGCTGTTTCTGGTGCGTTTCTAAATATTTATTATTCGCACAATTTTGGGTTTCCTGCATAGAAAATAAAAAAATATAAAATATATCAGCGACTTAATTTTTCGCACATCCCTTTGACTCATTTCGCTCCTTATCTACTTTTTTATTCTATATTTATTGTTCTATATGTTTGGCATTATTATTCTCATTTTCGCCCTACTTTCTTTTGGCTTTTGTTTTATGTAATCTAAAAAAAAAAAATTAACAAAAAATTTCAATTTTTCACTTTAAATACAACTCACATTATTAATACGAATGTTATAGGAGTTAACGCACGATATCGAAGATTTACTGCAATCCCTGTCGACGGTTGAAGATGGCATTGGCAATTTGCCCAGCGCAAGTTTGGATGGTATGCTGCAAGGATTGAAGGTACGTTGTTTTGCGCGCGAATGCGAACGCGATGTAGTATTGTCTGTAAATACATTTACATATGTATGTAAGTATGTGGTTAACAACTTATTTGTTTTGCATTTGATTACACCTACTTATGTACATACATACTTATACATACATACATATATAGCATATTGTTAATGACACTTTTTATGCATACAATTCCCCAACAAACCAACGACACATTTACATCCACAGAGCATACTAAGTTTAACATATTTTTTTATATAATTGCAACACCTTTTTAAATTCCCTTCTTCTATTATATTTATATTCAAAAAAAAAAATATAGTATTAGTTAGATCCAGAGTTTTGGGTAACTAACAAATACTTACAAGTATGTACGCATCTAACTTTTTTATTTTAAGAAAAAAATATCCGATTTAATGATAGCTGGCGTGTGTCGCATAAAATTAGTAACACAACCGCATCATTCATATATCGCACATTTATTTTGATTTATTAAATTTTTTCGTTTTTATTTCATTTGGTTTTTCTTCTTCTTAATATTAGTTCTAGTTTGTTTTGCCGTAATCTTGTTTATATAAAAAAAAGTAAATTTTTAGGTTAATAAATTAGTTAGCAATACTATTTTTCATGATGGAAACGTTAAGATTTGTAGGTATGAGTCGTTTAGCAATAGTTATGCCGTATTTCCACTAGGTATTACAATATGAAAAATGACAAATAATTTTCGACCATTAAAAAATGACATCTGACAGCATATGTAATCATTATAATTTTCAAATATTTGTCTGGCTAAAAATTCGTGTCTAGTGGAAATACGGTATTTAGTAAAAGAATTTTAAGCCTGCGACCTCCAATGCTATATAAAAAATGGAAAAATAAATTAACTTACATAGATGATTTTTACGACAGGGTAGCAGGATGATTTATCTTGGTACGAATTTTCATCATCACCTGTCAAGTTTGGTTTGGCGACGAACCGGTTTTTGGCGTTGTGCAATCTTCAGAGTCATTCTTCGTTCTGACAATGAAGATAGCACAACCGCGAAACCGCTTGAGAAAGGATTGCGGAAACTTGTTCAAAAGTAAATAACATACAAGAGTCTGTAATATAATTGTAATGCTATATATATCCTTGTAGACCTGCTTAGAATAAAAAAAAAACTAAAAACATTGAAAAGCTTTACGAGTGGAGGTCAAAAAGTTCAGGAAATAAAGAGAAGGGCGAGTAATATTAAATGTGGCGTCGTTTTTCCTATCCTATAAATTTGTTCGAGATTTTATACCATATATGTGGCATACCAGCCCAATTTGGACACAATTTGGCTTTTGCGTCTCCTATTTTTTCCATAATTTTTTATGTTATAGTACCAATCGAGAGTGGCCTCCCTGATTTTACATTTTTGAAAATAATAATGCTCCTGTTTTTTAAATGCCTATATTTTTGCGAAAAATGCACCGATTGGGACCATTTTTGTTTAGAAATTTCCTATTTTCAAGAGACTCAAGACGAAATTGGCTTAGCGAGTTAGTTTTGTTTATACTTTAACAGCTTTTTGAGGGGCGTTGGAGTAGCCCACTACTCGCAAGGGTCCCTATATATCAAAGAAAAGCATATTGTTTCGTCGAAGTCCTCACACCACGGGACTGCCGTCAAGCACTACATCGAGAGGAGGAAAGGTGATTATCACTGCCTGCTGAACTGTAGCCCTTCGGGGGTTCTCAGCCTCTTCGTCGCCCTTGGTATTCGGGTGTTTACATGGGGCGATTTTATAGGCAACTTTTATTTGAAAGCAACAAACGTCTGGCGCCACTGCAACGGCCTTTCAACTAATCACTTCTAATGAAATTGGGGGCAACGAACTGTTCACCTCTAAAATTGCTAAAATCGCTTCATATTAACACCGGATATTGACTCATGAGCTGTCATACATTGCTGCTGCTTTGTATTTAGCAGCTTTTCCAATCTGGCATGCAGCGACATGTCCAACGGCCCTTTGTTGCGTTGCTCCATCTATTCTGGCAAGTTTGGGTGCTGGCTTCTCGTGCTCTGGAACGATCCATTCTACTCTCCGAAATAGTTGTCGCTTCATTTGCCAGTATATCATCGGGTACATTCTGGCGATTTCTAATGCTGCTTCGTCTGATACGGTTTTAAACACGCAGCATATACGAAGCGCGCACAGGCGGTACGTTGCCTTTATGCCCCACAGGTACGACGCGTGCCGCATGGAAGAATGCCAGACTGAAGCACCGTATCGTATTTGGCTCTTTACAACTCTTGCGACTAATTGCCGCTGGCTTTGCTTTGGTTCGCGTGCATTTAGCATTATTCGCGATAATGCTGTTACTGTAGCTGATGCTCTTTCGTTGACGTATTCGAGGTGGGATTTGAACGAGAGCCTCCTGTCTATCATGATACCCAGGTACTTAACTTAACCGATGGCAGCGAAGTAATGTTGTGGTCGCCGATCTTTATTGTGACGAACTCCAACTTCTTCCTACTGGATATGAGCGCTGACTCTGTTTTCTGCTCCGCGAGCTGAAGTCCATTTTGCATAAGACACGACTGAACAGAAGCTATAGTTCCATTTGCTATTTCGCAAATTTCGCTAAGATGTTTTGTAGTTACGATTAAAGCAATATCGTCTGCAAAGTCGATGATTTTGGCACCGTTGGGATTTTTAAGGCGTAAGACACCGTCGTACATGACATTCCATAGTAATGGGCCGAGCACGGAACCCACGGGAACACCGCCTGTAACATTTAAATGCGGCTCGTGCCTGCTGATGTATTGTCCTCCAGAATACGTCCTTCAAAATAGCTGCGGATGTTTCCCAATGCGAAAGGAATAGAGGTGAAGGAAACCAGCTTCCTTTGTTCGGTAGTGAGGAAAAAGTGACAGTGTAATAAGCATCGTGGGCCGGTAAGGTAATAGAGTCGAAATAACGTCAACTCTCGGCGCGATGCTGCCATAATCCATGAATTTTTTATTGCCAATTTTCTTTATATCTCCACGATTTACTCGCCTAACCGGCGACATCTCAAGCTTTAATGAAGAGATTTGACTGATACATATGCATGTGGTATTCAGAAGAATTACGTGATATTGCTGAATAATTCGTAGACCGATTTTGCGAGAAGTCTAGGTATATGCTATTACTCAAACATAATGCAGTCATAGCATTTTGGATTCAAAGAACGACTTATAGTTGGTTTCTCGAAACTCGCACTGTGATTGGTTTAATGATAACTCCAATTGAGTCGTCAGATAGTGGTAGTTTAGAAAAAAAACGAAAAAAGCACCCTCCTCTTTCCAACCCCTCTACTCCGGGAACTTTTTGACCATACCTCGTAAAAGTTTTTTTCTGGGCAAGTTAGTTTTTTCTTTTCAAATTAAATCCACATTCCTTACTCCTTTACAAATAAAACTTAGACACTTTAAAGAACATTTATGTAAGCTTAAATATAAGTTTGAAAATAACTTAAAAATGTAGCTTTTATATTTAGTAGCTCGGCAGTATTTTTATTGCTTTTTTAGAAAGCTTCAAACAACATGATAATGTAGTTGGCTTATATTTCAATTACACAATTGTATAAAATTACAAATATAAAAGCGTACTTAGTACTTTTTATGTAATGTAACTGTAGTTGTATATTGTAGCTGTTGAACATATACTTATGTACATTAGACCGTATCACCTTACAAGCAAACAAAAAAAAATAAAAAATTGCCCGTAGAGCTCTGAGTGTTAAGGTATTTTTGCAAGGCAATTTCAAAAAAGTTTTGTTTTGCCGAACCTAGGGGTCGGCTTTTTACATTTTACAGTGTCACCAACATTCGGCAACAAAAATACTTATCTAAAAGAGTTCTACTGGAATAATGAAAATATTTCCGTTTAACCGCAATAATACTTTTTTAAATAGTTCTACTGGATTAATCGAAAATTTTCTTTGACAAATTTGCATGATTTTTAGCGAGCTTTGATCTACTGGCATTAGGGTGATGTTTTACGTTGGGTAAAAAAAAACAATTGTTTTTCGAAATTGTCTCCTCGAGTCAAGAACATTGATATCGCACACGATCTTCAAATAATTGACACAACTCAAAATTTTGCATTTTTGAAATTATGCACTAAAAATGTACACCAAGCCTTTATTTACCATTCAGCAAGAGCTGATGTAAATTTTTGTCATAACTTGTTGAAGAAACCTAAGGCCATAAGATTAGCGTGTACTAAGAAATAGTTTTTCGCTTTTCTGACGACCGTGTAATTTTGGGTTGTGTCACTTTTGAAGATCGTGTGCGATATATCTTAATTTGAAATCTGACTGTAAATGCCGAATAGACGAAAAATGTGAAAAAAGACACCTACGTTCGGCAAAAAAAAACCTCGAAAATGCCTTGGAAGCGAAGTACTATACGTGGCAATGATCTTTGAAAAAAATATCAATATATTATACTTTAAGATCCAACTCTTAATGCTTAAGATATGATGAAAAACGTAAAAAGGCGACCCTTACGTTCGGCAAAAAAAAAAAATCTAAATTGCCTAGCAAGAATATTTTAGACTTAAGAGTGAGTGTACGGCGACCTTTTTTTGGTTCGGTCTAATGTATTTATTAAAAAAAAATAACTATAAACCATGAAATACTGCCTATTATACTCGCATATTATACAAAAGTGCATTAACTAAAATTTTTTCTATATTAAAAATGTTCGCAGCTTATATGTTTACCCTTCAGCAATAGTTGAAAAATTATTTAATTGTGATTTTCGCAAGTTTTTTTCCGATACATTTTCGCATTCATAGAATCAGTTTTTTTATATCAACATATTTTCTAAAAATTGAGAAATTTTGAGTTAACGCGCTTTTGAAGACGAGTGTGATAAGTATTTGTTAGTAAAAGGCGCTAGAAGTGAAAAACTACAAAGAATTTTTATAATTAAAAACCAATTATTGGCTTTGCAGATTTTACCTGACTTTTTTGTGAACTTTTTTAAGGTTTTTTTTCTTATGGTGGCCATATACATAGCTATAAATTTTTAGGTTTCTATTTCATTAGATTTCTTTGGAAGTATGACTATAACTGCCTTAAATGCTTCAAGTTAAGTGCCATTTTTTTTTTAACTTTTAAAACTTTCAAAAACTTTAAATTTTCATATTTTATGTAAAGTTGGCTTTAATGTCGTTCATTGCATACTAAATAAATATGTCCATGAGAAAATAAATTAAAATATCTAAAAAGTGGCAACGCTAAAAAACTATTGTGGAATAAAAAACAAATTTCTTCAAAATTTTGATAAATCGGTCGCGTATATCTTTCGTTCGATACCCAAAATTATTTAAAAGAACAATAATGGTTGAAAAAGTGACAGCTCTCAAACGGAAATTCGAAAATGAGGCATTATTTTTTTCTACGCTTATGTAAAGCAAATTGAAATACCTTTTGTTTTAACTTAAACAATTTTTTAAAGGAGTTCAGCCTTCCAACATTGTTCGAATGCCAAGAGGAAAGATTTTTGTATAAATAGCTGCTTAAATAACTTTTGCTTCCAACAACATTCATCAAATTTTCCATTAGACGAAAAAAATATGGCAGCCCTTTAACAGTTTGCTATGTTTGAGCCTTACATTTTTTTAGATTACGTGTAGCCTCTAAGATATCATGCGTTTAATATAAAACTTGTATTTAAAAAAAAAAAAAATTATTAGCTAAAAAGTGGCAACTCTACTCGAAAGTTTCTTCGCTTTAAAAAACTCTCAGAAACTGTTTTGTTTGATAAATATTTAAACTGTTTAACTTTTTATTTTTATATATAGTACATTTATGTACATATATGTATATAGGTGCCGAAGCCATTCAAAAACCATGTCTAGGTTAAAATTTTTTCAAAATGTTTTCATTTGATGTGAATATTGTAGTACCTCCGCTCCACTTCACTTACGTTTGTTTTTGAATAATTATTTAGATAGGTGGCAACCTCATCCAAAAGATATTTCCTTTGTAAATCGGCGCCTTATTGAATATCTCAATCAACTTTTTGTATGTAATTCATTTAATATTTTGGGCAGGTGGCAACCCTGTTCTGAGATGTGGCAAAAAAGCAAATCCATTGATCCAATCCGCTGGTTTTTTATGAAAGGCTAAATTTTTCAACAACAAAATAATTTTCACTTCTAGCGGTTTCTACGTTAATGTTATAATTTTTATTTGGTTTCTATGCATTGTATAGTTTCATATGCAAACTCTTTAGTAACCATACCCTCTACTGCATTTAGCTAATCCAAGAGAATCTGGAATACCAAGAGAAGGAGGCAATACGCTTACAAGAAATAAGTCAGACGCTACCCACAGACCCGGTAACAGAGCGAACACTCAACGAGATCAAGGATCGCATCGATCTTTTGCTGCGACGCACACAGCAAGGCATCACAATGATTGCGGTATGTCAAAGAAAAATAATTTAATGGCATATGGCGCTAATACTAATTTGTGTCTCTTTCTCTCTCTCTCTCTCTCTCTCTCTCTCTTTCCTTTACCGCCCCCACAGAACGCCATGCATGGACAGAAGAAGCGCGAAGAGGAGCTCAACGAATACCAAATGCATTTGATCGCCCTACAAGAATGGATTATGGAAGTATCACAGCAGCTGAAGGACCTCGAGCCAACACCTGAAGTCGCCGAAGATGAGGAGCAGCTTAAGGCACAAGCCGAACGCAGCCAACAGCTGCTACGCACACTCAAGGATAAGCAGCAATCACTCGAAGAGTTAGTTGAAAAGACCCGCCTGCTGCAGCAGCATGAAGATGTTGCGCCCATGGCCTGCGATTTGATGGATCAACTCGAGCATATTATTACGCTGCTGCGCGAACAAATCACTGTAGCCACTACGCGCATTTACACGATCGAAAAGACAATTGTGGAGCTGCGTAAGTCTAGACAGGAGGAGGAGCATCGCAAGCGCGTTGCTGCCGAAGCATTGATACAGCCACCGACTAGCGTGGCTGCCGAAGCATCATTGATACAGCCAACGACCAGCGCGCCAGCCTCGATTACATCGAATGCTAGTACAATTGATTCCGCACCAATGCCAGAGGAGGAGGTGAAACCACCCACCACTGCTGGCGCACAGGTACAAGCAGTAGAAACTCAAACGTCCGAAAGTATTGCCGTGCCACAGGCACAACCACAGGTGCAGCCCCAGCCACAACCTATTGTAGAGACACACACTGTAGAAGCACAAACTAGTTTGGTGGAACCTGTTGCGCTATTGGCACCTTTTTTCGAAACTATTGAGACTGCCATGCACACGCAGAAGCAGCGTAAGCCCACCGAGAACATTCTTGTCACATCAACAATGCAAGCGGGACAGGAGACTATACAAATCGATACCATACCGAATAAGGAGATACCAGAAGTACCAGACGATGTTGAATTTGAAGCACCCTATCACCAACAGCCGCAAGGCGACGTCGATCGCGCTACCGAATTGGTGTTGAAGAATGTGCCACAAGCCTTCGAGACTACCTTTGTTGAACCCGATCAGACAACCACTGAAGTAGTGGTAGATGCGGATGGCACCAAACACATCATAGTAAAGAAAGTGACGCGTACGCGCCAACAAGTGGTGCAGCATCAGCAAATCAGCCCGATTGCAACGGTTACCGATGCCGAAGGCAACATCCAGGTGCAATCCACCGGTCAACTGAATCTCGAAAATGTGCATATCGCAGATACCAGCGGCGATGATCAGCGCGGCTATCAGACAGTGGTAACGCAACAGACACGCGGCACTGTAGTCGACGGATCTGATCCGAATGCGATTATCCTTAAGGAGTTCGAGACCGAACCAACAGTGGAGCGGTACGAGCAATTGCAAATGCCTGAGGGTCAAACTGATATTGTCACCGTCACCACTGAGGGACCCGCGACTACAGCCACAACGCAAAGCAGCATACGCGCCATTGTACACCAAGTTACACGCAAGATTATACGCAAGACACGCAAAATTATTAAGCGTATTGTGGTAATCGATGGTGTTGAGCATGTCACCGAAGAGGTGGTCGAAGAGCCAGAAGAGGTTGAAGTCAGCGAGGAGGAGCTGCCGCCGCAAGTGAATGTGAACATCATACGCACTGTTAACGGTAAGGTGGTAACCGAGGAAGAATTCGAACGGCTGACAAAAGAACCTGGCGTGGTAATTGAAGAGGTTTCTACAGATTTATTAGAACCGAAAGTGTCAACACCGCCGCCAAGCGAACCCGTTGAAGTCGAAGCTGTGTCAACGGTGACAGACGCGGTGCAGCCGCCACAGGTATTTGACATTGAAACTTCTACCATCACTACAACAACAACACCACAAACACAACCAACAACAACCAGTATTATAACAACAAGTATAACAGAAAGAACAAAAACAACAACATCAACAGACCAAGCACCAGTAGAATTTGTTGATTTGCCAGCACCAAAAGTAGTTGAACAAAGAATCATTGAAACCGTAGAAGCTACTAGCACTAGCCCCGTTAATATTTTAGCGGATTTAAGTACAACACCACACGACGAAGAGCAGATAGTAGTAGTCGAAGAGACGATTTCACCAAGCGTGCAGACTACTGAACCCGTTAAAGCTATAGAAAATGTAAGTGATATTTGGCCCAGAGAGCATCATTTGATACCAACAGATATCGAATTTTCACATCACGTCGACGAGCCAGCTAAACCGGCTCACGAGGTGATAGTAACAAGCGATTCAAAGCCAGTGGAGGCAGTTTGGCCAATTGACGAAGATACTGGTTATCCGGTTTCGCTGGAAGAGTATAAATATGTAAAGTTGGTGGAGCCAAAACCGCTGCCGATAGAGACCGAGCCCACTGGGCAATCGCAAGTGGTTACAACAACAACTACAACTGTCACAACCACAGAAAAAGTGGCGCCGGAAGTAACTCATGAAGTGAGTGAGATAACTGAAGAGCCAGCATCAGCAACACTGATGCCACCATTGGCGCCATTCAAAGAACTCGAAGAAGAAGAAGAAACCGCAATAGAAACCTCAGTAACAATATCGGAAGTGCCTACACTAGCGCCTGAAACAAAAGTATTAGCTCCCACACCCGTCGGCGAGCCAGAAGTTTTGCCAACAGAAGTTCAGGAAGTAACTCCTAAGACACCCGAACCAGCAGTATTAGCACCACAGATGCCTTTGCCCACAGGAGTAATCAGCGTAGACGAGGTTACGTTAGTAGAACCTATTCAGCAAACGGCCGAGACGGTCACTGAAGTTACTACTGTAACATCAGAGAAAATTACTACACCTCCACTCGAAGCGGAACCTCTCTCACTCACTTCTACCGAGACTGGCACAGCTACGCCACCGGAGGACAAGTTCCTGCAAGCTGCACTTGCACCTACACCTGCTGATAAATCCAAAATCGACATACGCGCTGCTACACAACTTTTCATTTCAGGTGAAGTATTGGCCACTGTCAGCGATTCGCCACGCAAGTCATTCACCGTAACAGCGCCCTACATCGTGCAAACTGGCAGCGGTGTTTTGAAAGTTGTTATGACACCCGAGGAAGACATTGATCCCAATCAATTGCCACCTAAAGTAACCATGACAATTGTTCAGACTACAACGGTGACGGAGACAGAGCGAGAAGACACCACGTCACGCGGCGACGAGTTGAATATCGCAGCCGGCGATACCAAGCGAAGTCGCAAGAAAAAGAAAAGAAAGGAAGAAGTCGCGCCTGAACTTGAACAAAGCGAAGAAGAGCCCAAGGTCGAGAAACCTGAAGTGCCAATATCAAGAGTTTCAGTATCCGAAATCGATATTGAATCTCCACATGAAACCGGCTATGAAGCAAATGACAAAACTCTGGATGATGGCGATATGGACGATGGCAAGAAGAAGCGCCGCAAGAAGAAGAAGCAAAAGGTCAAGGCACGCGAAGATGAAGAATCGCATGTGCCATCCTCAGAGGCGACGCCACGCGATGTTGAATCGCCCAGCTTGGAGTCCGAAGGTAAAGTCAAGCACGAGGCAATTACTGAAATTAGTCCTGAGAGTGAAGCTACTAGCATTGAAGTAGATACTTCAGTAAAGGTGGTCGAAGAAGCCGTTGTGACGCCTGATTCTGAGTCACTACGCGAGCCCTTCATGGAGCTGGTCATACCTACAGAAGTGATAGAAATCGCCTACGTAGAAGATGAGCAGCAGCAGACAACCCCACGCGAAGAAGCGCCTGCGCCTGCGCCGGTGCTGGAGAAGCCAATAACAGAGTTGAAGTCTTCTCAGACAACACCGGAGCACAAACCAAAGCAGGAAGAAATATCACTGCAACCCAGTATTGAAATTGCGCCCGCAATACAAGACACCGAGGCGCAAACAATAACAGTGGAGGTGACGGAAACGGAAATTCAGACAACACCACGCACTGAAGAGACAATCGCTCAGATAGTGGCTGAGCCGAAGGAAACTGAGGAAGAAGCAGTGCAAACTGACGTGGCGTTCGACGTGCCTGTACCTCAAGCAGAAGTGCCAATAAAGCCCGAAACTACTGAAATATCGAATCAAACAATTGTTGTTACCACAATTGAAAAAGAGCTACAGACCACGCCTAAGGAGTCACCACACACGCCTGAGCCCAGCAGCACAGACATCATACAGCCGTTAGTGCAGGAGCTGGTCAAGGATATGACTACTGATCTGCCTGCTGAAAAAGTAGAAAAGTCAGATCAAGCAATTGGCACCGAGCCCACAGTTACGCAAGAGATTCATGTGAAAACCATCACACCCGAATCGGTGGAGCATGTTAGGCCAGCCAGTACACCCGAACCCGTGATTGAAGAATTTATTGAACCGGTGCAAGTGGTGAAGGCACCCGCAGAACAGCGCGACCAGCACACGACTACCTTTGAGTTGACTCAATTTGTAGACTCAACTTCACAGACTACACCACGTCACGAACCGAAATCGCAACCGCAAGAAGTGGAGCAGCCAACAGTGGTAGAGCAGCCTGTGGTGGTGGAGCAGCCAGAATCGTTGGAACAGCCAGCATCCTTGGATCCACTAACATTAACGGAAAATATCTCATCAACACTGACTTCCATATCCGAGCCCTATAAGATAGAAATACAGACCTCTGTGGCAATACCACCCGACACAGATAACTCTGAAATGGAGCCTGTTGTATATGAACATACACAAACCATTGAATTGCCCAAGCGTGATAAAAAGAAGAAAGATAAGAAAAAGAAGAAAAAGCATGCGCCACAAGAGGATGAGGAATCGGTGTCCGAACAGCTACCCGAAGTAAATGTTAATATTGAAATAGCAAATAACATGGTACCTGAAGCGGGCGTCGTGGTTACCACCACTCAACATGTGTCAGAGCCGGTTCAAGCGACCGACGACAAAACAATGCCTGATGTAGAAAAGAAGCCGCAATTGGTGCAGCTGCAAATCACAAAAACTACAGTATACGAGGAGTTCCCCGATATGCAGCTACAAATTAGTGAGCAAAGTAAGGTCAATGTGTCCGGCCAACAGGCTGCCAAACCGCGTTCTAGACCTACTTCTACGATCATGATTGAAGAAGTCGGTTCCCCGACCGAGGAGCTAGTTGTACCCATTACGCCAGGTCCAGACAAGGAAATTCCACAAAGCACGGCTGACAGCATTTGGTTAACCGCAACATCCGCTGCCATTGGCGTGGATAAGACGCCAAAAGACGCTTCCCAGGCAATGATTATGTCCGAAAGTCTGCAACACTATCCCGGCCCGCAGGTGCAATCAAAACCAGTTGAAGTTTGGGCGGAAACGAAACAGGTGATAGGCGGACGCATAAGATGCTTGAAAGAGTCTACGCCAGAGCATACGTCACTCAGCAATGTCCTGCATTTGGCTACGCTGTCCGACAGAATAAAAGATGTACCCCCTGAGGTACGCGCGCAGGAAGTCAATCAAGGCCTACATGATTTGGAGGACGCCGTAAAACATGGTGATCGCACTGTGATCGAAACCACGGTCATAACTGTGATCGAAAAGGTATCAACATGGCTGGAAACTATTGAATATCGCGTCTATCTGATCAGACAGAACTCTGATGAGGGTCCATCTGAGGAAAAGTTGGACAATTATAATCAACTGAACGATGAGCTCAGCACCATTAAGACAAACGTCAACACACTGGAAACGCAGCTAGAGAAGGCTGATCACTTGACCGGCTGTAAGGTGCAGCAATGCGTGGATGCGCTCAAAGAGCACGTCGATGCTGTGCAAGGTATAACCAAAGACAACCAGGCGCAAGATTCTAAGGAGTTGGAGAAGTGGAACAACTTCGTTGTGTTGATACATCGTAGCACCACAATTTTGGAAGAACTACAGGAGCGTTACGACACCATCGTGACACAAGATCTAACGCTGAACGCGAAACTGCGCAGCCTTGACGAGTTGGAAACCCAAAATGCGGACGTACAAAGTAGCATCGCAGAATTGACGCACAGCGCGCGCGCATTCCAACGCAACTTCCCTGGCAAAAAAGTACCGCAAGACCTTTACAATTCTTACGAAGTGTGCAAGAATATCGAAAACAACATACTTGCTGAGCGCGATCGCTTACTGCAGTTGCAGTCGCTCGGCGATGAGTACGAGCAGACGCTAAAGGAGTTTACAAACATCACAGTTCTGGCCGATAAAATGGTTGAAAGTCCCATTATTTCCAGCTCATTGGAACAACTCAACCACGAAGTGCAGAAACATCGCAAATTCTTCGTCAACTTGAGTCATTGCCGCGCAATGCTGGAGTCGCTGGAAGAGAATATCGACTCCGAAACGCGCGAGAAGCATGCCGAGTTGCATAAAGATCTCTACAATCGCGCAACTGTGCTGTTGGAGAAAGCCTCCGAGCGTTCATCGAAATTGGTGCAAGCTGCTTCGCGCTGGACTGTGTTGGAGAAGGGCATGAATGATGAATTGCAATGGCTGCATGTTGCACAGCAGCGTGTACCTGATTTGTCCGCTGTCACTTCGGCTGATTACGATCAATACACAACACTCTACCAGTCACTCAGCACCGATATCTCACATCACTATCTAAAAATGACACAACTATCGAATATTGCGAACAAATTACAAGACCTCGTGCAATCGCCTAATCTGGTTGAGGAGACTAATGAAGCGCTCATTGTGCTATTGAAGTTGCGTGAAGAAGTCTCTTTGTACCTGCATCGTCTGCTCGTCTTCAAAGAGATCTGGGCGCAGTATGAAAACCAAACCGACAAAATCGAAGCATTTGTGCGCGAGGCCGAAAGGGAATTGCGCCAAATACATATACCCGAAGATCCGCTGGAGCAACCTATTGAACATATGCGCCAGTTCTGGGAGATGAAAGCGCATTTCGAAGTGCACAACAATGTACGCGACTTGGCTGGACATAGTTTCGAAAAGGCGCTGCAAGTCATACCGCTCGCTGATGAGATGCTGCAACGCCAATTCCACGCGCAGCTGGAAGAACGCTGGCAAAATATTGCTACGTCCATCGAGCGCATACAAAGCAACATTGGCAACAGCCTCGCCTCACAAGACATGCCAGCCGAAGATAAATTAAAGTTGGTCGAACGTGAGCTGCACGAAATCTATCTCACCATGACCAGTATTAAGGGTGTCATCAAGAACGAGGAGGAGCTGTGTCTCTACTTCGAACGCATTCAAGTATTACGCACGCGTGTTGGCTTCATTGGCAACAAATTGGGACGCATTGGTCTGCAGGTTCCCGCCATTGAACCAGAGAAAGTGGGAGAACTCTTCGCGCTCTCAAACAAAATCAACACACAGATTGCCGAAGAATTGGAGGGTGCCTCCGTGCTGCGCGAACAGCTGCGCACCATACAAGAAGGCATACAGAATTTACGTAAACATCAAACCAAACTTTCCGTCATACTAGATGAATGTGAAAACGCTGAAAAATTGAGCAGCGAAGCAATAGAGAAGGCGGTAAACGACTGTCAGGCGGTGGGTGAAGATCTCATAGGCAATTGGCAAGAAATCATGCGTCTCCGTCAAATGTTGCATACGCTGCCAATGCGCTTGAAAATGTCTGTGTCACCAGTAAAATTGGAGCGTGACATATCGCAGCTACAAGACGACCATGCTTTCTTGGAGAGCAAATGCACGAACATTTTGGGTATACTAAGAAATCGTTTGGCGTTGTGGATGCGCTATGAGCGGCAATTGGAGATGGTGCATGAGTCGGTGCAAGAGACAGACTTTATGATGGAACTGTTGAAGGTGCACGGCCAGGTGGACTATGAGCGGCTACGCAAAGCCACCGAACGGCTAGAGGTGAGTAAAATGGGGCAGAGTTATAATATATATGTATGCGTGGGGATTGTGCAAAGGCTTGCGACGTAATGCTTTGCTCAGGCAACCAGCTAATCAAATTGAGGAATTAAGTAATTTTCGAGGAAATACCATAACTGAGCATGGTTAAGCAAATTGAGCAATTAATAAATTTGAGTTCTGGAAGGCTCAGGTAGCAAGTTGACAAAATTGGGGAATCCAGAAATTTTATAAATTTAGTTATTAATTAAATTCGGTTTATAAATTGCGCGTTTTATGTAAACTTAATTACAACCAAATTTAATCAAATAATCTGAATAAATTAGAAAAAATTTAGTACGGAATTTTTTGATTTCTGTATTTTTGCAATAATTTAACCAGCTCAATTTAACTACCACTCTGAACATAGTATAAACATTCAAATTGAAATTTCAAAGGAAAAGAAAGAGGGAAATAACTGCTTGTGAGTATAAAGTTTAGTTTCTTTTGTTGTGGATACAAAGCTTTGAATATATGCAATATTTTAATCTGAGTTTAACGGCTGTAGATTTTCAGTATACAAACTGAAAATTATGTTTTTGGAAATAAAGGTGTTTGGAGATAGAGATTGTGATTTCCATTAAGGTAGACCTGTTAGTTTTGTTGATTAACTCATGATTTTATTAAAAGGAAATGCATATTTAATAAGC